AAAGTGAAAGTGAAGTCACTCAGTCGTGTCCTACTCTTTGGGACCCCATGGACTGTAGCCTGCCAGGCTCCTCAATCCACAGATTTTCCAGGCAAGAATACTGGAGTGGGTTGTCATTTCCTTCTCCAGGGGATCTTCCAGACCCAGTAATCAAAACTTGGTCTCTACCAAGAGCCACCAGACTCAGTGGTAAAGAGTCCAAGTCCACCTGCCAATGCAGGAGGCATGGGTTCCATCCCTGATCTGGGAAGATCCCACAGGCTGTGGAGCAACTAAGCCTCTGTGTCACAAATAGTTAGACTGTGCTCTAGAGCTGAGGAGCCACAACTACTGAGCCCACGTCCTAGAGCCCCAGCTCTGCAATGAGAAGCCCAAGCACTGCAACAGAGAGTAGACCCCACTCTCCGCCCCTAGAGAAAGGCCAGCGCAGCAACAGCAAAATAAAAGTAAATATATTAAAGTAAAAAAAAGCTGGCTGAGGGGCCCAGTGGACAAAGCATTTACCTCAATCGGACTCATCAGCGCAGCCGTCCCAGCCGAGTCAGTAGGCAGAGGGGCCTCCGCAGGGAGGCTCCTGTTCCAACCGGGAGACATTCTGGCCGAATGGAGCCCACGCTGAGCCTCTGATCTGCCTCAGAAGAGTTGTACCAGCGCCTATCCCACTTGCTATTCCTCAGCACAGCCCATGGTTCCCAAGATCCCCACCAGGGAACTGATCTGAGTACACAAAGAGTTCACAATGGACGCCTAGGAACTTTACCATACTAATCTACTTATGAGCAGGGAGCCAGCCAGAGATGAAGACATGACTTCTGTGATACCCAGAGAATGAATACACAGATAAAGGAAAGCCAGGATAAGACAACAGAACTCCGAACTACAACTTCTGGCAATGAGCCCAGCTCTCAGGACTTGGTTGATAACTTCCAGTTTTTCTTTCTGACCCCCAAGCCAAAAATCTCCAAATAGAATCTTCTCTTTTTTCACCATGATCTCCCCCTTCCAATTTGCTTTACTCTCAGCTCAGTTAGTAAAGAATCTGCCAGCAATGCAGGAGACCCCGGTTCCATTCCTGGGTCAGGAATATCCCCTGAAGAAGGGATAGGCTACCCACTCCAGTATTCTTGGGCTTCCCTTGTGGCTCAGCTGGTAAAGAATCCACCTGCAATGTAGGAGACCTGGGTTTGATCGCTGGGTTGGGAAGATTCCCCTGGACAAGGGAAAGGCTACCTACTCCAGTATTCTGGCCTTGAGATTTCCATGGACTGTGTAGTCCATGGGGTCGCAAAGAGTCAGACATGACTGAGCGACTTTCACTTCTCTTCACTTCAAACACAAAGGACAGTGGTTGACCTCCCCTGCTAGATTCGACTCTTGAGTAATAGCCTCTGCATGTCCTCTTTTGACTGGGCTTTATTTCCACAACACTCACTTCCTGAGCAATGTGGTAAATGATGGAGTAAAACTGGAACACACAGGTAGTATTGAAACACAGGTCAAGAAAGTTGTGAAAGATCCCCGTGTAAGCATTATAAAATTAGTACATTGATTTTAGGGAACACTGGACACTGACAACACTGGAATGTTCCTGTCATATTCCTGTAAAAAGCAGAACAGGAAATTACTGTTGAAAACGAGTCCCCCCAAAAACAACTTCCCTGCCGAGTTTACGCTTAACCTCTCATCCAAAACTGTATCCCCTTTCTTGTACCCTCTGACTTCAATTCCGCGTTAACTGAACATCAATCAGTGTCAGACGACCAAAACTGCTGTGATGGATAGCATCGTACTTTAATACAAACTGAAGCTGTCTGTCCAGGGCAGGATGAGCTAACAGATCCTGGAACCACGGATCACCTGGCCAGAGACGTCTTGATAAGTCATCTCCAACTGTACGACGCTATGGAGCCTACGAGGCTCCTCTGTCCATGCGGATTCTCCAGGCAAGAATACTGGAGTGGGTTGCCAAAAAACAGGATTAAGAAATGTCAAAAAAAAAACGATTATTAACCCCAGCCTCTCCAATCTGTCCCTTTAAAACACTCCCAGGATTTGTCTCCACGTAATAAACCTTTACTTTGCTGCAAACTCCTCCGGTTGGAGTTTGGCTTTCTAAGCCAAGCGCACACGAAGTCAGTTACATTACTGTGGGTAACTGCAACTGCTTAAAAAAAAAAAAAAAATCTGGGGTTCCCTGGTGGCCTAGTGGTTAAGATGTGGAACTTTCACTGTGAAGCCCAGGTTCGATCCCTGGTCAGGGAACCATCCCGCATTCTGCATGCTGCTTGGCCAAAAAAAAAAAAAAAAAAAAATCTGAAAGCAACTAGGAGTAGCGGCTGCTTGTTCGCCGTCTCCGTGCTTTCCCTCGCCGTCTGTGGCCACCCAAGCACCTGCCGCGCGTGTCGCCGCGCACTTAGGTGCGGCGGCTGCGGAGCTGATTTTGGCAGAGCCCATGGCCGCACCAGACGACTGTGTAAGAAGTGCGCCCGGCCCCTCCTCCTAACAGTGAAGAGTTTAGACGCCTACTCTCCCTTCACAGCCGCTCCGCCTCTCCAAGTTCTAGGAGCTTACGGTCGCGACTTCCGGCCTGGACGGAAGTACGTCATGCTCCCGCCGCACTACAACTCCCAGGAGCCTCCAAGTCGTGGGACTTCCGGCGCCGCCATATTGAGGCTTTTGGCAGGATTGCGGCGCACTCGCTTCTCACCTCCTCCTCTCGCGTTCCCTCTCCCGGCCTTTCTGGATCAGTGCTGCGGAGCCTCCGTACACACCTTCCCGAGCTGCAAGTCTGTCTTGTTGGGCGACGCTGGGTGTCGGGAGCGCGGCCACTTTCCTCGAGAGTAACGAGCACCTGGATTCCCGACCTATTTTACTCCCCCGCCCCCACATTCTTTCCCTGTCTCCTTAGGACTATTTTTGTCTTCCTTTCTCCGAATTTTCTGATTACACACCTCGACTAGGCAGCGGCCTCCACGGACCTCACAGGTTTTGCCCGTTGCTGGCGCGTGATCCGACGAGTGAGTCAGCTCGGGGTCAGAAGTCGCCCAGTGCCAGCTGGGGCCGCCCATCCAGACTGGCCTTGGGCGCTCCAGGATTGAAAAACAGCTCCTAGGCCACGCTGTCACTTAACAGCCGCTGCCCGGTCACTCCTTTCCTACTTTTAAAGTGACTTCTTCCTTGATGAAAATCATGACAGACATTTGACCTTCCATTTCCAAACCCTTCCCCCAACTTTCTCTCAAATAAGGCTTTGAGTTAGTTTCATGTGGATGCTTGCCTGCCTCAGTTCATACCTGCGTTATCTTGAGCATTTCTTTAGTTCCCTTCCTGTTACTCAGGATTTCTGGAGGCTTATTCCCTCCTGGATGGACATGAGTTTGAGTAAGCTCTGGGAGTTGGTGATGGACAGGGAAGCCTGGCGTGCTGTAGTCCATGGGGTCGCAAAGAGTCGGACCCGACTGAACGACTGAACTGATTCCCGCCTCCCCGCCCAGTCATTCTTGACTTGAAAGTACAGTTTTTTCTTTCAATTACAGCTCTTAAGGCTTGGAATTTCTCTCTGAGCATAACAAGGTGGGGCTCCCTAGGGGCTCCGTGCTGGGCCACAAGCACCATTTTGAGTAATAATCATGCATGACACTTAAAAACCTTAATTCTCCACATTGCTCAATAGCTTTTTAATTTATGAAGTTTCCGTTTTTTATTCCTTGGTTAATCAGAGGGATTTTTATTTAGTGCTTTCTCCCTTATAAAAAAGTTGGGTTCTTTCTATTCTACTTCATTCCCTCTAACTGCGCCCCTTCTTTAATCTGGAGCATATGTTTACTTCCTCCCCATCGCTGGGAGCGCCAGCTATCCTCCTTTGTTGCCGAGTCAGTGTCCGCCCTCTCCCTGCTGGAGCAGCTCTTCAGGGGGACACTGGTTGTGCAGTTACCATAAACACCTGCTGGATGCTTTGCAGTACCTGAAATGGCCGTGGTAAGTGGCACTCCAGGCACCTCAGTCCTCTCTCATTTCAGGACCAACTGCCCAGTCCCTCTACAGGTAACCCTCAATGCTGTTTCGGCCCCACTTGACAGAAAATGAAAGCTCTGTGTACTAGCTAGCAAGACTGAACCTGGATCCACACCTCACTCGAGCAGGGCTGACTGACCTACCCATTTGCCTTGGGAGCTGCATAAAAGGATCCCTCAGCCACAAATCCCAAGTGCTGGCTTTCAACCCACCAGCTGAAAAACCCCCAGGGGGTGGGGGTAGGATTGGGGGAATTTAGTTCCCCCATCTGCAATTCCCTATCTAGCTAGGGGGCTATTTTACAAATTCACTCAGCCTTTGGGCAAGGGGCTTAATCCTTCTGGGCCTCAGTTTCCCCACCCTAAGTGATTAGGGACCTTAAGGCAGGTACTGCAAAGTCGTAAAGGCTGATGGGAGCTGTTGTTTTCTTCTCTCATGCTCTCTCCGCTTCCTTCAGGTAAGCTCGCTCTCTCTCAGTGCCCAGTTTTCTAGTGAAAGCTTTGCTACCAGACCACAAAAATAATAGTAACTAATTACAATGTCCTTCTACCAGCTTGTTGGGGAGCGCAGGGGCAGCTCCCCTCATCCCTGTTGCACCCTCCCTTTGTTTAGGATGCCCTCAGCTCACCCTGTCTCCTCCTTTGTCCATTTCTTACTTCTCAGCTCTGGACATCTTGCTTCATCACCTTCTAAACATGTCTACCCTCACTGGCCTGCTGAGGCTGCTAACTGGGTCTCACGCATTGGAAACTCCTAAGCCAAGCCCAGAGGAGGATGTGCCAAAGCTGTTGATGATCATCTTTACACAGTCGGCCTTCAAATCAGTAACAGCAGCTACCATTTCATGAAGCCCTCCAAGGACCTGCCTGGGCTTTTACAGCACCACAGCCCCATTAAGCAAGTGACCAACTTTTACACAGATCCATGCTGGGAGAGGCTGAGACTCTGCAGAAGGGAGCACCTGGGAACCAAACCCTGTTCTTTTATACCAAAGAGGGCTTCACATAGCTACAGTCTTTTCCTCAAATGTGCCCAAGAGTGTCTCATCCAGAAGTCACTGCACTTGCTACCTGCCTGCCAGGTGATGTCTTTCCTAACATCTGTGCCTCTCCTTCCCCATCCAGCTCTCAGGTCAGATGTCATCTCGGAGTTATCTTCCCACCCAGTTCTAAACTAGTATTGCCCACCCGTGCTTCCCTACTCCTGTATCTTCCCCATATGTATACTCTATTTTTTCTTCATACCATTGATTACCACCTTTAAGTATCTGGCTCATTAATTTCTCTCTCCACCCTCTCTAGAACAGCACTGCTCAGGGGAACGTTCTTTGGTGAAGGAATATTCCAGATCTGCACTGTCCAACATAGTAGTCGTTAGCTGCAGGTGACCAGTGAACATTTGAAAGGCCAGCACAACTAAGGAACTGAACTGGTAAGTTTGTTTTAGTAGGTTTACATTTACTCAGCAACACAGGCTAGTAGCTTGTCTGTAATGAGTGTAAGCCCAGTGAGACAGGGGCCTTTCCACCCTGTTTATCATGGTGACCCTTCCCTGTACCAGCACTTTGCATTTTGGCAAGTGATCAAGCAGTATTTGTTGACACATCACAGCTTCTAAGTGCTTTGGTGAACAGTGCACCAAGACATTTGGGCCTTTCAGCCTTATGCTTGCCCATATTTCAAATTTCAGGAAATCTCAGTGGCACTGAAATTGTGTCCCATCTGTAAGTTATGGGAAGATAGCTGCTGCTGCAAAGTTCCCATCTTTTACTTGGGAGCCTAAGCAGGTCATGGGGTAACAGGACCTTGGTTTAAACCCCCACCTGCTTCTTCCCAGATAAGCCAGGTCAGGGACTTGGTTCATGCTCCCCCAGCATGAATGGGTCTGTGGAGTTTCTCTGGGGCTGCTGGCTGGAATAATTATAGGACTTAAGAACGGGACTTCATGCACTTCTAGCCTTTTAACCCCTCAAAAGAAGTCAGTGTTTTTACATACTTTAGTCTTACATGGCCCTCTAACATAACCTTCTCCAAACAGAGCCTGCTCATTCCTTGCCAATTTATTCTTAGGTTCCATTTCAAAAAAATATCAGTAACAAAACCTTTCCTCTATGTTAAAGTGGTTTTCCTGCTTTAAGCCACAGGTATTAAGTTTCTGTATTTTATACTCTGTTGCAGCTGCTCAACTCTTGTAACTATTTCAGAGGAGAAGTTTTTTTTTTAAAACACATTATCTAAAAATAGATAAAAACAGGTGCTCATTATTACAAGCTACAGATATTTTCTCCTTTTCAGTATTTTTCTTATTTTGTGCTTTAGTGAGAACAATGCTATGTATAGGTTGCAGAAAGAACCTGTTAACAAATCACCTAGTGTTCTGTCATTGAGTAGCTCATGTTCTATGGAAACCTGTCTTTTAATAGGAAGCTAGACAATATTCACTGCCTGGGTTAATACAGAGACGCAACTAATTATCTACTTTGTTCTAAGGAAAAGTTGGTTTTAACATTTCTCTTGGGCCACCTTTACACTTTTCCAGAAATCCTTCCATCTTATTGTTTGTTCACTCCTGTACTTAACAAATAGCTACTGAGCCCCATGCTGTGTCAGGAGCTGGTGACACAGCAGGAAGGTGGCAGTCTTCCATTTTATGCACATAGTTACTGGCAGGACCTCTCAAAGTGGAAGGGCACCCTCTCACCCAATTTCCTTCTCTGGAGACAATCACATCCTATAGTTTCTGTTTTCCCAGTGGTAACAATTGCTATATTAATACCTGGTATATGTTTGCCTGTATATTTTTAAGGGAAAAAAAAGACATTGGTATCCTGTATGTCTGTACATCTTTATATACATTAAGGCAGGCTTCCCCTGGTGGCTTAGATGGTGAATCTGCCTGCAGTGCAGGAGACCCAGGTTTGATCCCTGGGTTGGCAAGATCCCCTGTTGAAAGGAATGGCTACCCACTCCAGTATTCTTGGCTGGAGAATTCCATGGACAGAGGAGCCTGGCAGGCTACAGTCCATGGGTTGCAGAGTCGGACAGGACTGAGTGACTAACACTTTCACTTCACATGTTTACCTTAAGGTATCTATATTAAAAGGTATATACTTTTAAGAAACACAAATATCTCTTGGTGATTGTTTCATATCAGTACATAAAGCTGGCTTATTCTTCATTTTTTGGCCATACCAGATGGCAAGGGGATCTTAGTTCCCCAACCAGGGACTGAACCCACATGCCTTGCAGTGGAAGAGCTGAGTCTTAACCACTGGACCACCAGGGAAGTCCCGAGCGGGCTTATTCTTTTGACATTTGTTTAAAACACTACAATGGGAACATGTATTGCTGAATATTTGCATCGTTTCTTTTCTCTGTATAGGTTTTTAACTTGCTATTTATTTACTCTTATCTATCCAGAAAATGGGCTCTTTTTTTCTTCTTTATTTCTGACTTACTACTGTTTTTATCTTATTTTTCCTCAGAACTCTTAGAAGTTTTTTTTCTCCTCAAAAAAAGTTTGAGTCCAATGCTTAGTTCATTTACTTTCCTTCTTTTTCAGTTAATAGTTAAAGCACTTCAGGTCTTGAAATTGCTCCAGAGACTGTACCTGGACACTAGAGAAGGTGGTCCTCAGATAATTGGATTAAGGTTACATGGGTCCTAGAGAGCAAATGGATGGTAACAGAACATGAAGTATTCTTGAATAAACGCTGCACAGTATGTGACCACACCCTGATAGGCTGGATTCCTGCCAAAACATGTTTGATAGCCATTCAAGGTTATAGACTTTTGACCTTATCCCCAGGAATGTGACCATTTCAAAGTTCTTTGTAGCACTATTTAAAAATTTCTTATATCATCCCTTACCTACACTCCCCTGGGAGCCTGGCCTAGTCTTCAGACTCTCCTCTTTGAAGATTTCCTCATCTCTTGTAATTTTTCCAACTGTTTATTCACTCAACAGTTTTCTGAGCTGTAACGTCAGTCATTTCCTAGCAACTGGGGACATGCAAAGGAAACTGAAATAAGGATGCCTGGCTCACTCGTGCTACTTAACATTTGTTCTAGATGTTCAGATAGATAATAGAACCCAAATTGGAGAAACAGAACCTGTTTTACTATATATTCATACAGTTGACCCTTCACATCTGTCTATACTTCACAATTTCATTGTATTTTTTTAAAGTAACATGAAGTGCTTCACGAGTGGCCTGTTATTCTTGTACAGGGGCCATGCTAATCCTCTCTGTTCCAATTTTAGTATGCATGCTGCTGAAGCAAGCACTGTACTGCACCATTTTATATAAGGGACTTGAGCATGTACAGATTTTGGTATCTGTAGGGTCCTAAAACAATCCCCCATGGATATCAAAAGATGGCTGTCCTGATGTGATCAAGGTTTTAGAATTTGTCTTTCTTATGACAATCTGGTGTAAAAACAGAATGAGACATTTCATTTCTATTATTCAGTGTGGGTCTCTTCAGTCTGTTTTTCTGTTGTTCTGTCAAACAAGGGGAAAGCTAAGATGAATGATCTGCCTGCACAGATTACATTGAGAATCTGCTCTCATATGAGTCCTCTGATGTTGAACACAATGAGGACTCCTACTGAAGGGCTTCTTGTCAATGGGTTCTGTGACTCCTCATGCCTTACATTGATTACATTCTCAGACACTCTCCAATATCTACTTCTATAATATTGAAAATAGAGCTGTTTATGAAACCTCTCCACAGCAACCATTTCCCCGTGATTTCAGAGTTCTCAGATATAGTGATTTGATTTAAGAACTTTTCCAAACAGAATACAACTGGAATTTTTTGTCCAGTATGAATTCTCTCAAATTAGGCTATAAGCATTTCCTGCTGTGTTTCCTGGGATTTCTTCTGTTTGAGTTCTCATGTTGAAAAACACATGATGAAAAGGACTTCCTCTATTTGAGGTTTTTCCATGTGAGTCTCCTTTGTGAACTGAGCTAAAACCAAGTTTCCTTACACTAAACATATTTATTTACTCTTGTTCCTGAAAGAATTATCCTTTGTATAAAACAAATGATTTCCTACATCCTCCACATGTTGGTTTTATAGCCCATGTGAGTCCTCTCAAGCTACACAAAAAATCTTGAGAAGAATTTCCTTCTATTCCTCCCAACAATACAATCTTCTTATACTAGCCTTTTTTCCCTACTAATGTCTATACTAATTTGAGTTGCCACATTCATATTTGCAGGGCTCTTCTGCTTAAATTCTTGACAAATCAAAAAAAAAATTTAACTGTCCTGCAGGCTTTCCTACAATTATGACCTTCAGAATAGTGTCTTTATTCCATTGCATTGTCCCTAATGTTTGAATCTATATAGATTATGTCTCAAGATATTCCACCCAAGCCACACATATGGTAGGTAATACTTTCTTGAAAGAACATTGAGTGAGAAGGCTTAAGATGTGAGTGCGATCAAATATTTCTCCACACTCCTTATCTTCACAGCATCTTTTCAAATTAGTGCCTTTTTGAAGATTAATTCCATGTCTTAAGCGTTTACCCAGGTTCCTTTCTACTTCAGCCACTGCCTGTGCTGCCATTTTTGCTGTCATGGAGAGCTAAGACACATGTAAACTGGGCTGCATTAGTGAGACCTAGCTTTCATTCAGTTCCAGTTCTCTGCCGTGAGGAGAGGCACAGCTACAGTAGTGCTGGGAGAAGGGGACCACTGAAGGAGATGGTTCTCTTAACAGTAAGCAGGCCATTCCAAATACCTGACTCCCATGTTTTTATGCACTGCCTGGACCTCAGACAGGGGCATGCCACTGGCTTCACAGATCTTTACTTGGGTGTTTCTAAGTCACCTCCTATTCATACTTCATTAATAGAACCAGTCAGGACATGGTACAGTTGCAAAAACATGTGCATTTAGGTGGAAGCTATTAGGTAGTTCTTTGTACGATTCATCCGTTTGCTTAAAATTGTTTCAACATTAAAAAAAAAAGTCAGAGAACCTGTTTCCACCCTTCAGAAGTCTTGGCCTTTACTAGACTTCCATGTCACTGACCGATGCCAAAAACTCCATAGTAGTAATACCTGTTTTCAGTTCAGTCACTCAGTTGTGTCCAACTCTTTGTGACCCCATGGACTGCAGCACGCCAAACTTCCCTGTCCATCACCAATTCCTGGAGCTCACTCAAACTCATGTCCATTGAGCCGGTGATGCCATCCAACCATCTCATCTCTGTTACTGTATTTTAAAAATGAGATACTGATATATTTAGAAAGTGTGTATGAAAAATGCATATAAATACATACATTACAAAGAAGAGTCACAGGAAATCCCTTCAAGTCTTCACCTGTGAGCAGTTCTTTGCAGCTTCCTTTCCTGTGCCCTCCTGATCAGTTACTCAGCTGGCCCCATTGGATCCACCTCGCATGATGAGCCACCTTCTCCCAGCCCTGTTGCTACTCTCTTGGGGCAGATGTTAACTGCCTCTTCCCCATGTGCTACTACTGCAGCTCCCTGCCTGCTTGCATCTGGGTCCTTCTGTCCTCAGAGTGAGCTGTAAAAAGCACAGCACACACCTACTCAAGAAAGGTCAAACCTCCCTGACAGTGGAGGCCCCTAACTTAACTTGCCTATCAGTACACCTCAGTTACTTCCTCCCAGAAGTTACTTTCCACTCCCAGAATGTGCCACCCTTGCTCCATTCTCAGGGTAACCCCAAGTGGCGTTTCTGCACCTGGAAACTAAGCTCTTTGCCTTGATTCTTGCCCGTCTGCCGACTTTCTGTTCTTCAGGCATTGGCTTAAAATCTTGGCCCTGCAGTGTCCCCTGACCCCACCTCTAGACTAATTTCCTGTTGCTCCCTGCTTTACACCATGTTCTTTTTCTTCGTCCATACCACTAGTTAACTGGTGTTTACTTGGTTACATCCGTGTAGCATGTTGGTAGAAGGTGTTCATCTGTTAGATGGAGGAGTCTACAATCACAGGGATTACATTAGGTCTTTTGCTTACTACCAAGTACATACTTCTCTTTTTTATATTGCATAGGACACAAGGGGCCTTCCACAAATATTTCTGAGGTCAAGGGGAGATGGTGGAGGAAGAACATCCCATAAAGGATTCTTTGTGATGCAGCATAAACATGTTAGGCACCTATCACCCCAGGCCTAGCTTGTTAACACAGGATTTCTTGTTCTAGGACACCACCCCTGAATCTCCCATCCCTTGGGAAGCCAGCTTTTCTGACATGTGCAGACCCTTAAGTGCCCAATGTCCACCCCACCCCCACCCCATGGCAGCTAGATTCAGGAAACTGCTAGATCATCCAGAGATGCATGGCTGGAAGGTCATCACCAAAGATGCAGGCCAGGTACAGATTTCACAGCTGGACACTGAAAGTTCCAGGTAGTTCCAAAGCCACTTGCATTAAAGCACAGAGAACAAAGAGGGGAACAGAAGAAGTTCTCTTTACAAAGCCAACACACTCTGATAGAGAAATGTCCAAAAATAACAAACACAAAGAAAACCACCCACCTCCCCAATGTAATTTATGAACGTTGAAGCAGAAATCCTAAAAAAGTTAATAGACATCAGGACATTACAACAGGGGCACATCTATAATTATGTCACTGTTAATTTTTCAAATGAGAAAATCTCCATGATCCCTTTGGAGGGGGAAAATTGAGACTATTTACTAATTTTCATTTACTAGAAAGGGTGAGATGACTGTTCCTTTATCCAGATAAAAAGTGATATGAATCAAAGCAGAATCCAGAAACTCCCTTTTAAGTCAGAGACCAGATACTTAAAATCGTCACATTCTCAGCCCAGTGTTTCGGAAGCAGTAGCTGTGAGGAATGTAATTACCTCCTCACCTACCTTGAATGCAAAAGAAGTAAAATAATACTTGCCAGTAATATGACTCTGTACTGAGAAAATTAATGATAACCTAACAAAACTGTTAAGAATTTAGCAGCAGGATAGGTTCATCTGCAGCAACTACGCAGGACTGTAAGGAAGGAGTAACCTGAGCAGATAAGACAGCAACTGGAGGGAATGCCCAACTGCACGAGGAAAGCCTAACCAGCGAGGTGAGGGGAGTGGATCCCTCCTTGTACACCTATGCCAGAACTCGACTGAGACCAGCTCTGATCAAATTTCTGAATGCAGTTAAATGTAATATACATTCTAACAGCATGTTCTCAGTGAATCCTGACAAGCTGATGGTAGGTATTCATCTGGTTGAGAACAGATAATAGGTTTTTTTAATTTAAAAAAAATATGAGGGCCTACCATTTATCCAAGGTTATAAAGCTACAGTAATATGGTGTTTACTAAGATACTGACAAAGATCAAGGGACCATAAGGGGCCAGGAAGGCCTGCATGCAACAAATAGTGACTATGAGAGAGATGATAAAGATGGTGTTCCAATAATCAGAAAATGGCACTGAAAAAACTTGTGCACGACATCAATTACACAAGGAACCTAGTACATGAAACAGCTAAACAAAACCCAAAAATACCAGAATAAAGTATTTGTACAATCTGCCCATGTATGGCATGAAACCTAGATTAGGAATAAAGACAGATCTGAAAGAAAAAAAATCTGAAATCATAAAACTAATTTATGGAGACTAAATAAAGGTAGGAGATACGTATTGGACTGTTATCTGCAGTGTTAGTATCCATAATATATAGTAGTCCTCCCCACCACCACACACAAAAGACAAACCAACAGAGGAAAAAAAAAGGAAAATAGAAAAACTCACAAAAGCGAAAGTACAACTAATCTGAAACCAAACTGAATATATCTTTTCCTTTCAGATCTGTAAACCTTAAAAACAGGACCAGTATCAGTCACCAGTATCTTACAAAGAGGAAAACGAAGTCTCGTGTTTTTGAGCAGCTATATGTATTTTAAAGGAACTTAAGACAGCAACTTGTTGCTACCAAATTTTTTCACTTATATCTTGGTTGATTCTCCATTCTATTTCTAGAAATGCTATCTACACAAAAAACCCAACTCGACTGTGGAAAAAATTGTATGCAAGGATGTTCTGCAACCACTTGAATGTCCATCAAGAGAAAAAAGTCAAATGTGGTCTATACTGCATTTGTGAAAATGAATGATGCAAACCTGTCTCCACTGAGTATGGTTATACCCCCCAAAACATAAACTTACATAAATGTAAACATTGAAACAAATCTGGCCAGAGCCACACAGCAGTTACCAGAGATTACAAAAGGGAAGGGCAATAGACCATGAGTGAAGCAGGGTGAGGACGCCCCTACTGCCAACCTGGCACCGGCAAGAGGTTCCCATTCAGCCAAGCAGTGCCCCCGACTGAAGCCAAGGAAAATGCAGAGCTTGATTCAGCATGTTTGCAGCTACTCCTCACAACACCCCACTAGGGGTTTCCCCATCCACCTCCTTTGCTGAAACACTAGTTCCTGACTAACCGGGACTCCCACACCAGGACTCCCATGTGCCTGGTTCTCACCTGAAAAGGTGTCTTGAGGAATTCCTCTCTCCACCGACCAGAGCTCTTCCTCTTCCTCTAACTGAGATACCACATCTGGCTTGGAAAGCTGATGTTCTGCCCAAGGGAAAAGAGACAGTGCTTGGGGGTCTGTGTTCGGGAGAAAGTACTTTCCTGCTGTAGCAATTCTGTCCCTGTGTTCTCCCCGGTAGAGACGGCTTCTGGTCTAGGGCAGTGTTGCTAACTCCACCCATCCCCTTTGCCAGCTGCTTCCTTTTCTGGATTCTCTTGACTGTAATGGAGGCAGGGGGGCTTGGTTTTGGTCAGTAAAACACTAAGGGAAGTTTGTCAGCTGGGGGCTTATGGCAAGTGTGACAGCTATAGAAAGAACTAATCAGGGCTGCCCCTGCGTTCCTTTCTGCCTTAAACTTGGATGGACATAATGCTTGGCATCAGTCAGGCACATGCTAACCTAAGAATGAAAACTTCACACTAACCATGCAGAGATGGAAGGGAGCAAGGCCTTTGATGATACACCTGAGCTGGTGACACACACGTTCTGGAATTCTTGTTACAAAAATAGTAAGCATACATCAGCAGTTGGAAACATCCCCGATAGGCCTACCTCCCTGGTACTGAACACCTCTGAGGGGTGGACTAGGTAAAGTTTCAAAAGTTATATGTAAAGTTGCCCTTTCCCTCAGGCTCCAGGGCCTTGACCCTTGAACTTGGATCCCTGCAGACTGAGCCAAAGCAGACACACACTTAAGAGGCACCATATTGGGGCTGCAAAGCAGAAATCTTTATTGACACAGAGGCCATCCTTACCCACTGAGACCAGGTTCCTGTAGTTCTCCAGCATCACCTCCCTGTACAGGGACTTCTGTTCGAGGTCCAGCTTTCCCCACTCATCTGGGGTAAAACCCAAGGCCACATCTTCAAAGGTCACTGGTTCCTAAAACCCACAGGTGCCTGTTCAGCCAGGGCCTGTTGTCACCCATGCTGACAGGAGGAGGAGGGTGACTGAGCACATGTAGGTACAATTAACAATGTGACGCAAGCATTCCAGATGTCTCATCACGAGTTCCTGAATTTGTCTGAAACAGCAAACCCAAGCTTGATCCTATCAGGTCACAGCAAGTAGGACAACCCATGTGGTCAGAAAACATTGTTCATTCTCTGAAAACCTTTCCATTTCTTACTAACCTGAGGATTCCAACAGTGGTATCAGGTATATCCTTTCTCCTACGGAATTCCGTGAGCTAAACCAGCATACTTCAGCCTTTAGCCTCCATCTACTGGCTATTCTGCTGCTACTTCCTTCACCTATAAGGGATTCACCCCCATCTCTCTCTTCACCCAGTGACTAAGCTTTAACTCCAAAGTACTACTGAAACCTAAGTGAAGCCTGATTCCTGCTTACACCTGCCGATGGCTTTCCCCGCTCCGTTTAAAAGATAAGTTAGAATCCCCCGCGGTTTGTCCTCTATTCTATTCCCTTGAAAAGCTAAGCAACTTGCTATCCCTCCGCCCACTAGGGTCTCTCCTCCTCCTGCAGTCCCCCTCCCCTTACCTAGATGCTAGGGGGCCTGGGGGCATCTCAGGGAACGCGTGTGCCTGCGTCACCCCTCCACCCCCGCTCCCAAATCCAGCGGTAGACTCTGAAACTTTATCAAGAAACCTCTACTCACACGGAACCAATCCGTCGGAAGCCCGGAGGCCATAACTTCCTCTTCCTCAACGAGTCCCGTGGGAGTAGGCAGAGTCCTAAGAAGGTCGAATTTGGGAGGTGGAAGGGGCGTGAGGGTTAGACCAAGGCCCCCGCCCCCTCGACCCAATCAACAGGAAATGACAGGTCTAACTCCAACCTCGGAAAATGCTTTAAAAAGTCGTCTCCACCTGTTCTCGGAACACACAAAGGGGCGATTTCCCAGCCTCCTCACCCAGACGGAGTCGGCCCCCTACCCAGCCCGCAAGCGCCCGGATGGGGTCGGCCCGTCTCGCGCCCCTATGGGCCCCGAGTCCCCGACTCTTGCTGCCCTAAAGGCCCTACGGCGGACGGACGGCAGACAAGGCTGGCTGTGGGCTCCTGCGATTGGCGGGGTAGCGGCCGCAACTGGGCGCTTCCCGCGGAGCGGCCCTGGAACACAGCCCCCGACGGGCGCAGGTTTCGCGCCACACTCACCCAGCGCGCGCGCCGCACAATGGCGCCTGTCAGCCCCCGGCTAAGTGAGTCAGTGCGTCCATTTGGACTACAACTCCCAGAGATCCCCGCGGCGCGGCGCACTTCACGTTGCGGGCGGCGGACATCTTGGCGGCCAACTCGGGGCGGTAGGCGAAGCCCCGGTCGCGGAAAGAGCGCCCTTGGCTATCCTGCTGGTCAGGAGGAGGCCTTCGAGGGGCAAGTCGGGCCGCTGGTGGGTTCCAGCACCTGCATGGGCGGCGAGGCAGGCTGAGAGGGAGCCTCGCCAAGCCTCGAGGGCTGCAACGCGTGGGACGAATCGGAAATGGAGAAAGGGAAGGCGTGGGAGGGGCAGGGCCGGAAGTTCTGAGGGGCGGAGCGCTTCTCACTTCTAACGCAGGGAGAGGAGGGGCGGGCCGGAAGTGCTTTGAGGCAGCGGTAAAGTTGGTCCCTTTTAGGCTCAGCAGTCAAGAATTGGCCAGCAGTGCAAAAGACACAGAAGATGGGGGTCCGATTCCTGGTCGGCAAAATCGCCTGGAGCGGGAAATGGCAGCTCACTCCAGTATTCTTGCCTGAAGAATTCCATGGACAGAGGAGTCTGATAGACTTCAGGCCAAAGGTTCCGATACAGCTGAGCACAAGCCCTGCCAAGTTCCGGGGAAGAGGGTACTAAGTGTGTATTCACATCTAAGAGAGGGGAAAAAGGGGTTGGGGTGGTTGGACGTGTTCTGAAGGCGGGACTGAAATCCTCCCGAGGTCCTGGGAGGAAAAGAGGTAAGGGCCTGCCGTGAACTGTGCGTGTTTGAAAGTGTTAGTCACTCGTCGTGTCCAGCTCTTTGCGACCCCATGGACGGTAGCCCGCCAGGCTCCTCTGTCCATGGGATTTCCCAGGGAAGAAGACCGGAGTGGGTTGCCATTCCCTTCTCCAGAGAATCATCCCGACCCAGAGATGGAATCCGGGTAGATTCTTTATGGTTTGAGCCACTAGGGAAATGTGCAGAGCGTGAGGCTAAATGTCCTCCAGGCCCAGGGAGGGGAATGGGGTCAGGACTAACTATCCACCCAAGTTGTGAGGAGAAGGGGCCAGTGCACTCTCGGGCAAGTGGACCCGAGGCAGGGGAGTGGAGGGAGGGTTGTCCACGGGTAAATCAGAGTTGGACCGAAGCGGTGAAAGTAGATTTTGTTCAATAAACTGTTGCAACGTGGGAATGGAGACTCCAGTGTAGAACAGAGCTCAGTTCTGAATACAACTAGAGTAAGTGGGGATTTATGGCCTAGGAGTAAGGGGAGAGGTACCAGTGGATAGAAAATTAGGAGAAGGAGACATCCTGTCTGGGGGATTCTAGCTGGACAAAGCTAATAGACTGTTTTAAGGAAGGCAGGCCAGGGTGATGATGTATCACCTGGGAGAGAGAGTAGGGGTGAGGAATTTGATCAGATATCAAGAGTAGGGGAGTCTTCATAAACTGACTTAGGATTCTTGCTCAAATGGGATTCTATGAGGCAGTACACATATGGGCCTTACTGGGGAGAAGGTTCAGAGTAACTTTGCTAACGTTTGGCTAAGCAGAAAATCAGGGAGTTGGTGTGGTGTGGGCTAAACAGGAAGGATCCTCTGTCCTAGGTCCTCATCTGTGAGCCAGGTGCCCATGTCTAAGAAATGGAAGAAGCCTTTCCCTGCCCAGGACCTGGTGTGTGCCCCTCTTCCTTGAGCCCAGTCCACTCTCATCTTTCTTTGGAGCTCAGGACAAAATAGTCTGATGTCTTCCTCAAAGTCCAGTATCTGGTGTCCTTCCATCTTCCTGAGGTTCCAGGGCCCAGGCTCTGATGTCTTCTCTCCTCCTTGGTGCTTGGGACTCTTCTACTGAGACCCAGGGCCCACTGCATTCTCTCTCCACTTCCTAGCAGGTTTCAGCAGCCTTATGCCATTTTTTGAGTCATCCTGTCCACTGCATGCTATGCTTGTTCCAGCAGTTATACATTTCTGTGGCCACTATGGGAATATCCACATGAGGGCTGCACATTGTTCATCTTATTTGTTGCAGTTAAGACCGTGGGTCTGTTGACTTGGGCATATTAGTATTGGCTCACTAACCATGCATTTCCTTGAATTTTTCTTGGCTGTTATAGCTAAAACAACTTCCCCATTCATTAAATAATTCAAGCCTCTTTTTCCTATTTTCACTTAAAAAAACGGTGTTCTGTAGCCATGGGTAGTGGGACAAGGCAATTAATCAGCCATATTTTCTTCTGGTTATGAGTAGGGATCCTTCTAGTGTTTACTGTCAATCTGATAGAGGCTTTAACATCTTAAGGAAACAGGCCTTCTTGGAGGTTCTTTCAGTTAGAGTTAGGGTTAGGGTTAGGGTTCCTCACTGGGAAACTACTTGGACTCAAACTCATTTTCTTTAAGAAATGCCCCCAGAAAGGACAAGTGCCAAAAAATTCTTTTCCTTTCTTGTAAATTTGGACTTTAAAG